CATCCCGCTCTGCGGTCTGAGCCGCAGTGTCTTCCAAGAGCGGCTCTAGCAAGATGAGAGAGCAGGAGCAAAGGCAATGGTTAGGAGGAGCAGGCGGGATGACATGTGAGCCAACGTGTTTCTCAAGCTCGGGTGCAGTGGGAGGAGAAGACTTGGGGCCACACACACTGTTTCTCTTGTTTTGTCTTCTGCACAAAGCGAGAACTCGGATGGCCCTCTTGCCTTTCTCCTAGACGGTCCTGGGGCCAGGACTCCAGGGGTGTTGCACTGTACATCAACATCTGCTCTGCCTGGCCGACACCGTTTTCTCTGTTGTTTACCCTGGCTGGCAATGGTGCTGTCCCACGTTGCTGGCAACTCCCACACAGCCATCGTGATCCTGAGATCTGCCAAGGGCCCACGCCTACTGGCTCAGCCCGCGATCACATGGAAGCCACCAGAGCCTCAGTCCAAGACCTGCAGCACTGGTGTCAAGGGCATTGGTGACTCTTTTAGGAGTGAAGGTGAGGCAATGCCGGCACCGCTGCTGGTGACAGTGCTTAGTATGGGTTGAATTGTGTCTCAAAAGCTACCTGGAGTCTTAATGGCTGGCATCTGTGCAGAGGACCTTATTTCATCTTTGAAAATGTAGCTAAGATATAAATAAAGGCAAGATTATACCAGTGTTTGGTGGGCTCTTTTTCCAGTATTGCTGGTTTCCTTGTATGAACAGGATTAGTGTCCGGACAGACATGCAAGGGAGGAGAGCATCCTGTGATGATGGAGGCAGGAGTTGCAATGCTGTGTCTTGTAGCCAAGGGGTACCAGGGTTGTTGGCAGCAGCCAGAAGCTGGGGGCCAGGCATGGGACGGATTCTCCCTCACACCTGCAGCAGTAACCGGCCCTGCGGCCACTTTGAGCTGGAACTTCTGGCCAACAGAACTATGAGACAGTGACCTGGCTAGTGATAGTTGTTAGGGCAGCTGCAGGAGACTGGACACACTACTGCTGTCCACCACTGTCAGCTGCTGCCTGGCCCTGGGGCCGCTGGACCTACCAGTGTTATGCAGAAGCACCTACTTTGCTTTCATCTGCTGTTTTGTACCTGGGATCCAGGTGCAAACCCATGGGGGCTGAACCCAGGAGACTGCGGATGAACCAGAACTGCTCACTTCCTGAGCTTTGGATGGCTCCAGAGCCAGTGTGGGATTCTGCCTCCTCCTGAGATGAGCTCTTTCCCCTCCGCAGCCTCAAGTGTGCCCCGAGGTTAATGTGGAAAATTATGAGTTGCGCTAGGCTTTTACATTGCATGTTATTAATTAGAAAGGAATTTGTCTCCTGAATGAACCTGTACACGGGGAAGCTATAAACCCACAATGAAAGCTGATAATTAGGAAAAACGAGGAATCAAAAGGTGCTTAAAGAAAATTTAAGAACTTCAGTCCAGCTGAGGACTCCTTGTGCTCAGATGTCTCTGGTCCCCATCCTGCCTGCGCTGCCCTATGTCCTTGTCTCCCTGGGCAAGGAGGGTACAGAGAAGCACCGGCTGCATCACACCCTGGACTGGGCTCCCTGCAAGGCGTGCCCACACATTTCCCTCCTGGCACCGGGCCTTTCACACTGTGGTTTCAGCTTGCAGGAGAGCAAGGTCAGGCTTCGAACACTGGACAGAGTGGCAGCAGGAGGATGATCAAGGCTGGTGAATCTGAGGCTTCTGCTGATGGGCTTGACGTGTGCAGGGCATCGCCAGCATCACTGCCCCGGAGCTCACCTGGGAGGAGAATCACGGGAGGGAGTAGACAGGAGCAGGGAGCCGGACACTTCAGACCGGGCTGGGGTTCAGACCGGTAGCATGGTCTTCAGGTGGGTGGCACCGAGCTCAGCTCCGGTTTATCATTTCTGAACCTCTTTAATTAAACAGTATCCCTTCAAAGACCCCGGGCAAATATAGACTGAAGCCAGAGATTTTTAGTGGGGACTGCAGTGACTTGGAGAGACCCACAGCGAGCACACACTGCCCCTCCTCAGGCCCTTTCACCTAAGAAAGAAAATTCACTCTGCAAGCTGAGGACAGTGGCTGCAGGGGCTCAGGGGTGAGAGGACACCCCAAACAGGAAATGGCGTCACTAAACTCTCAAACAATCCCTCTTTGTGTATCCCTTACCTTTTTCTTGTTTTAGTGTCATCCTCCAGAGAGGCGGGCTGCCCGGAGACAAAGCCTCTACTCAACAACAAACACCTCCTTGTGCCAAAAAAGAGAGAAAAGCTCACATGTGTCTCCCGGCCAAATCACTCACTGTTTACATCTGTGAAGCGCTGCATTGTTTTGGAGCAGCTCTGGCCCAAAACATTTCCCTCAGCCCCACTCTCCACCCTGCCTACTCTCATTTTCTGTTCACTCTGCCGTGAGGCTGTGTGGGAGAAAGAATAAAAGATCTCGTAAAATCCAGAGTGCTTCTGGTAAAGTTACCTTCACTATCTTGTCTGTCTTTCAGAAAAGAGAAATTTCCATCTCTTCCCAGCGTAATCTCTGCTTCCCTCGCCCTTGACTGCGAAGAGCGGTTTCAGGTCTGGATGGATCTTGGCGAGGGTTGGATGGCCTTTGAGTTCAGTCTGCCACCCCACAGTCCAACTGTGACCCTGACCTCAAACCGTGCTCCTCATCCTCTTCCTGCTCACCCGCCTGGTTCCTCTGGTGAGCTCACTAGCTGGCCTCACGCCCCTCTTCCCGGGATCCAGAAGCAGAGCCTTAGGTGGAGGAGATGGGAGGTTCCTTGCTCACACCGCAGCCTCTAAAGCTCAGCTCTCCCCAGGCCCTGACAGGGCTCTCAGCTGATTCCTGGCCTCCTTCAACCTCAGGGCCAAGGACTCCTCACAAGGCACCTTCCCCCACTGAAGGCCACTTTGTCCCTTTCTCTTGGCTTCCATGTCGTTGTCCCAAAGGGGTGACATCCATCCCAAAAGCCTCTGCCAGTTTTCTCCCAGGGGGCCCCAGGATTCTCATGTAAATTAGGGTGGCATTTGGCCTGTCCCTGTAGGTGAGAGTTCCCTGCTGGGTAAGCAGGCCACCTTCCTCCCAGTCTCAGACTCAGCCATGGAGAAGCAGAGGTTGTTTATAGTCTAATTTATTCTTCCCTGATCCCAGTCATCAACTGACACACTTATGTAGTAACCGACATATTGAAACAACTGGGGTGCCTGTTGTGTGTGCGTGTGCATGTGTGTGTGTGTGTGTGTGTGTCTTCTAATTGTTCACAGAAGGTTGCGAAGAAACAACAAATGAGTTTCTCTTTATAGTTTCTCACATCGGGTCTCTCTGTGGAGCAACTAGGACTCTGATTCGTCGAGTCAAGCGGTTGGTTAAAACTGGGACACACCTCTCTGTCTCAGCCTTATGTCCTGTTCAGCAAAGAGAAGTATGTTAATAACAGGAAAGACCTGAGGGGATTGAAATTCTGGGAATAAAAACCTTAGTTAATCCTAAACTCACTGATTTTTTGTTCTACTAGGCAGCTTTTAAAAAAATACATATATATACAGAAAAGGGCAATATGTCACAACTAACCCAAGGCATAAATGTGAACCAAGCATATTTCATGACTACAGAAACCACAGGGGCCAACATCTGTGACCAGCAGAACTCCCCCTTAAATGTGTGGAGGTTAGGATTTCTTACCGTAAGGAAAGGAGCACATAACAAAAATGCAGCCCAAGGGCTAGGTAAAACACTTGCCTAGCATGTGCAAGGCCCTGGGTTCCATCCCCAGTACCAGGAAAAAGACACACAAGAAATTCAAGATGAGTAAAAGAAAAACTAGTAGTATAAACACAAATATTTTGTGTAATTGATATTTAAGAAATAATACTAAAGAATATACAAGATGTAAATTACATAGCATGTATGTCTGTACATGCTTCTCCAAGCGTCTTCTGTGAAGCCCTCAGCAGGAACATGAAAACAGACATCAAGGTGTGATAACATCAGCCATCTTCACATGGGAGCATCGAATATACCCTGCACATCAGGCTGCTCCTGGGGATGAGGTTTTCCTTCTCCTCCCACCAGGTGGATGGGAGCAGCTACCATCATCCGGGCTCTCAGGGATGCCTGCCAGGCTTTTCCTGCCCAGGAGGGGAAGGAAGCTGTCAGCCTTGGGAGAGTGCAAGGTTGGGCAGCAGCAGACACTGCGTAAAACCATACCCCAGTGGGAGAGGACAGGGCTGACCCTGGGACACCAAGGCACACCTATGGAGCAGACCTGAGCTTCCCAAGCTGTGCTCCCCACCAGCTCATCTATTGTGACCTAGGTGGCCCTGGCAGTGACTTCCGGAACTTCAGAAGTCCCTGGTTGCTGGAATCTGCAGTAAAAGCTTTGGTTGCCCTGAAGGACCAGTCAGCCTCCACCCCACAGAGCTGTCTCACCAGGTGAAAGACACTGCTGAAAGTCACTGCTGAAAGTTGCTAAGTGGTATTACTGACGGACTGCCTGATGGCTGACGCTTTTAGGAGAAGAATCAGAGAGACAATAACAAGAATGTAGCACGGAACCGAAGGTCAGCCCTGCACCGGACACAGATGGCAACAGACACGCTGCACGCCTTCTGGGTTTAGTACCCAATGTGGAGGACAGAGGAGAAGGACTGGGAGACGGGAGGATCCAGGATAGATGACAGAAGGAGTGTTTTGTGCTGGGTTGAATGGCGCTGTCCTATCTGAGGGCATCTGGTGATCCACGATTGGGCGTCCAGAAAGAGCAAGCGGAGAGGAGGAACCTGCGGGCGAGTGAGTCGATGGAATTTGAATTCCATAACTGCAACTTGAATTTCTGCCGTCAGCTGGAGGCTGCGCTGCAGTCTTTTCCTACAAAGGGAACAAAAAAACTAGAAAACCCCAAACCCTCTGCAGCGGGGAGCCAGGAGGGATGGAAGTGGGTTAGGGTATTATATAAGCCCTCCCAGGGAGGGGAGATGGTCTTTCGTGCGCGTTCTTTTGCAGCAGCGGAGCTCGGCGGCAGGAGCGGCTCAGGTTGATTTAGAGCGCGGATGACAGCGGCCGGGCGCGAGCGCGCGGCTGACGACAGCGCGGGTCCGCTCGGTTTCCATGGAGACGGGCCGGAGCCGCGGCGGCGGCGGCGGCGGGGCTGTCAGCGCGCGCGGCTGCGATCGCGCGTCCGCGGGGGTCTGCAGGAGGAAGGCGGAGGCCGGGGCCGGGACCCTCGCGGCAGACATGGACTCGCCTTGCGATTGTGCTGCGGAGACGCCGGCCGCCGAGCCGCCGCCGTCGGGGAAGATCAATAAAGCTGCTTTCAAACTGTTCAAGAAGAGGAAATCGGGTGGCACCATGCCCAGCATTTTTGGGGTCAAAAACAAAGGGGATGGGAAAGGCTCGGCTCCCACGCCCGGGATGGTGAGGAGCAGGACCCACGACGGGCTGGCCGAGGTGGTGGTGCTCGAGGGGGGCCGGAAGGAGGAGCCGCGCGGGCCGGGCGACGGCGGCGGCGCTCGGCCGAACCCCGGGCCCCCCAGAGCCGCCGCGCCCGGCCTGGGCTCGCTGGCGCCCGGCTCGGTGGCCAAGTCCCACAGCTTCTTCTCGCTGCTGAAGAAGAACGGGCGGCCGGAGCCCGGCAAGGGGGACCCCGCGGACGCGAGCAAGGCCGGCGGCAAACAAAAGAGGGGGCTGCGCGGCATCTTCAGCAGC